AGAGTTGTATGAGTGCTAGATGGAAAATAAAAAAATAGTAATTCGGAGTAGATAAAACATACCTAGACGTATGAATGAGAATGAAACTTATCGGAGTGGGATAATAGTCTAGACGGGATTGGTGAGGATTCTTTGAGATTCATTGTTGGTTGTAGTTGAATGTGATTGAATTTATTCGATTGAGACACCCTAACCATTTATAGATAAGATAACATCCACTAGACTTGGTCAAATCATAGTGTAATATATCTTGACTACTTGAAGATAGAACATGAGAGATTTCGGGTTGACCTCTTATACCATGACTTGGGTCTATTGGCATTGCTGACGTGGGTCAAAGATGGCGCGTTTGTTAAATGGGCATGTTCGTGGGCCTCGTTTCATGACTTGGTCATGTGGCCCAGTGGAGTAATTTTTAGTACTACAATTATGTTATAATTTTGAATAAGGATATAGTTTGCCTTTCGTTTATATATAATTAAATCATCTGTGTGTATGTTTATTACAAAATATTTGATATCTTTTGTTATTTGTCACTAGTTTCATTTAATATAAATTTGGTTTTGATAATACAAGATTGATCATGATTGATATAGGTTCATATCACGATTATTATTTGCGATCTAGTGAGTGGGTGGGTGAAGGGTTGGAAAAGGCATGAAAGATGATTTTTTTTTGTTTTGACTTTTGATCAAGTAGCGAATTTTAGGACGGTTTCTTCTACCACATATTTTCAAAGGTTTGTGATGTATTTGCTATGATTTAAAAGTTTGGGATAGTTATGCACGTTTTTGAAAGGTTTGGGATCTCTTATGCAAATTTCCCATTAGAAAATGAAGACAATTGAGACAATTTTTTTGTAGTCTTTGAGGTCTCAATAAGAAATGATATACATACATTGAAAGTTTCACGGAATTTATACAAGGGAGACTTGGCGAAGTTTCGTTGACAATTGGTAAATAAAAAATAAAAAAAAGCGCCTGCGAATCAGGTGCTGCAATGTAGCAATCCTGTGAAGAATTCCTTCGTACATGGGGAAGTTTCTAGTCTCAATTCATAAGAATTAATGGCATTGACCTCGATACTAGAAGGGGGAGGAGTGGGCTAAAATTAACATGGTTCATGTTAGTTGTTTGTTTTAGTAAATATGGTAACGATGAACTATACGGGGTTAGGGAAGGCAATGGGCCGAGATGGCTCAAGCTCGTTCAAGCACGAGCTTGGGTCGAGCTCAGCTTGGCCCACGATCTCAATTTTATTTTATTTTTTTAAGTGACCAAACGGTCAGTTTTTCAAAAAAAAAAAAAAAACAATCCCAACTCATGGGATTGTGAACTTTAGGCTCATAGGCACAATTCATGAGCCTCTCGTTGTCTGAGCCCTCCACTTGGCATGTGCTCAAGCTCGATCCAAAACAAGTCAGAGCTGTCCATAGGCCGAGCCGAACCGACTAACTACTCGACCCTTTTGCCACCTTTATACGGAGTCATGAAAAATGATTCATGTAGTCGACAAAGCCGTCTTCCTTCACGGCTTCACATTGGCATCAGTATTCAGCTTGCATTGCGGAGCTCTCGGTAGCCTCCAAACCCCCTCAACTCGCCTCATCCTCCCTCACCTCTCTTGCACACCTATCTGCTATCTCACAAATGACCTCCGGCGGGAACCCTTCCCCCAATGCAGCACCTTATTTCTTTCGTCCCAAAAAGCCTTTAGTAACACCAACTACGCCTTAATTTTAGGAGTGTCAAAATATACCAAACCATCCCAGTGAAAAGCATCGCCTAGGTGGCCCAGCACGTAAAAACACATCCCAAGTGTGGTCTCGTCCACGATGTGCCGTGTGCCATGGTCCAGCCAATTTGACAACCAAACTGTATCAGTTTCGATTGTCGAAGCATGTGGCTCGTAAAAATGTACCAAAATATCCCAGTGAAAAGCACGGCCTAGATGGCCCAGCACGTAAAAACGCATCCCAAGTCTGGTCCCGCGTGCCATGGTCCAGCCACTTTGACAACTAAAATGTGACAGGGTTTGATTGTGGAAGCATGTGGCTCGGACAAACTGAAAACGCAATCCTGTATTCTTTAGATAAAAACTAGTGCAAAAGATATACCAGCAATGGAAGATTATATTTACATCAAAAGTACATGAAATTTCGTTGATGTAAGACTCAGGACTACTTTTGCATTTTCATGAATGCAATTTGATCACAGCAAAAACCCGAAAGAAGCAAGAGAAAGGCAGTAAATCACATTACAGAACGAAAAATGATGAATTCCAGTGTACAATATGTATAACCCATCCATTTTTTTTTTCAACAAATCTAATGCTGAACAAGATCCAAAAACTATCCTTCAATAAAATGACAGTTACACAACCCGATAGCAGAAATCGTCACGAGGCACATACAATGTTATCTGAGATCAAATCCCAACATAACTCACCCCCACTAGAACACATCTTAACCTCAAATCACAGTAACAAACCTAGCATATGACAATTTTTTCAATTTACTGCTATCAGCAATGAAATTTCCGAACTACGAAACATTTTCCTTTCTGTTACATATTTTTACAGATTATGGAGACGCGATCTTCATTATACAGGATGTACCAAAGCGAAAATCAAGTCCGCTGTCTTACCCTCCTGCCATTTGTATCACCACCGTCAGAAAGCTGGGCCCAAACACTTCGAGACTTGCCACCAGCACTGCTGCAATCGTCATCACAGCCAGCCACAGTCTTCAATATCTCTGATTGTAAGGCTGGACAATTTTCTTTAAGATATTCAAAGCCATCTGAACGCATAACCGCTGCAATAAAGATAGAAACAGATCTATGAACAAAAGCAATATCATTCATTTAAAAGAAAGAGAAAGAACTCTTCATACAAGAGTAAAGCACTATAAATTTTATGGCATTCAGGATCTCAATTATGTTCTCAGAATTTCTTCTGTTCAGTAATAAGCCCCTGTTTGGTAGATATTCTTTAAAATTCATTTTTTCCAAACTCCTTTTTAACCACACATTTTTTCAATAAAATAATTTTGCACGTGGACCCATAATTTATCCATACATTTTTAATAACACATTCTACAAAAAAATCACTTTTTACAAGATCTATTATTAAAAAATCAATATCAAACAGGCCATAAGCACACCCATTTTCGAAGTAGCCCATCTTCACCGTTCTACACAATCACAATTCAAGGAGATGATGACCACGGTCAAATATGTTCTTCAACATTGCACATATGTAAACCTTCTAACTAGTAAAGAAGGTTCATATAGAAGACGAATAAATGTGTAACCCTGTTAAATAAATGCTCATTTTCATTCATAAAGCAAGAATATGGTTGCTTGCATCTCAACCTGTTGGCATGAAACTGTGAATGACTGGAAGAAAACTGATATCAGCAATAAATGTCGCAAAAGCATTCTCACTAGTAGCCGTACAATGGAAAAAGATGACTATTAATGCAGAATATCAATTTATTGGTAAAACAAGATAAGCTCAAGTCTTTGCAGCAGAAAGCTGTTAAAAATATGAAATGAAGTAAACGCCAACTATCAAATAGAGTCGACGACTGGTAGAAAACTGATATCGGCCATTGATGTCTTAAAAACTTTCTTACTAGGGCTGAAAAATTGTAATAGTAATTGTAATATGGAATAAAGATGACTACTAATGCAGAATATATATTTATTGAAACAAGATAAGCTCGTGTCGTTGTAGCAGAAAGCTGTTAATAATAGAAGTAAACACAACAAACTGGTTGATCGCATACCAGCCAGGTTTTCAGCAGCGAATCTAAGGCAAACAGCTTTTAGTTCTTCAGCACGATAACGGTCTGCCAAAGCAAGTATCTGTGCAACAGAATTTACTGATATATCCTTGCAAAGATGAGATTCACACATGCGTCTAAGCCTTCCCAGATCATAATGATCGGCTGCAGCCAACAACTTTGCTATTAACGTGTCAGATACCATGGGAGCAGAAGAAGAGCTAGATGCCATCAGCTCGTCTTCCACAAGGGCATCTCTGTATACAAAGTGCAGCATAGCCTGTCATACATCAAGTGACTTTAGCATAATATTCCATCCATAAAATTGAAGAAGATTTTCAATTTTATAAATTTGATACTATAAAATAGCTAATAATAAAAATTAATGAAAAGGGGCAGAGATAAAAGTTCAGTTTTTGTAAACTAGAAGTAGAACGAATGGAAACCACTCACCTTAAAAACCCTAGGCTCCATATCTGAAACAGTAATCTCTTGCTTATCCTTATCTAATTCTTCAAAAAATTCAGATCGAAGTATGGGGGATCTGGCAGCCAATACTAACTTATGGGCATGAAATTTCTCACCACACACATTAAAAATAACATCAGAACCCTCCATATTTTCTAGCAGCATACCAAAATGTTCTCCAATATCAGAATCAGGGACTTGAATCGAATGTAACCTTGAACAATCTATAGCAGAAACTACAACTCCAACAGTACAATTGATCTTCAAGCAATCATCTTTTAGATAATCTGAATTTTCGAGCAGAGCTCGCCTGAAAAAGCGCTTGTATCCCCTGTACACAAGTAACATAAATTGGAAACTTGAATTTTGCAGAAGGATTAAAGAATAATTGATGCTGAAGCGTTCAATATACAAATAGAGGATAAACATATTACAGTTGAAGATAAACAACTTTTCTACTTTTCTTTCTTGATCAAGCACCTTAAATCCTGAACTCCTACGCATAATAAAATTTAAGCCTAGCTATCTTGAGTCTAGAACATGCCATCGATGAGACTATATACCACACTTCTACTTGCAGCAAATGGTAAAATGATTTTTGTACTTGTTGCAGGGCAGAGATGCTCCAAGAAAAAGAAAAATCACAATTTTCACAAACTGCAGCAAGAAAATCAAGTTAAAACATAATAAAATTTACAAAAAAAACCCAACATCTCTATTTCAGTTTACATACCGTCAAAATATACTCATTTTTCAGAAATGGTACCAAGAAACACAGTACCATTAAATATCCATTAAAAGGGTTATTTATTATTATTATTCTTATTATTTTTACATATCTACCATTTTATATGATTCAGAAAGACCCGTATACTCCTATTTGCAAAATTATAAAATAAAAACAAATTTTCTCATTTTGCTTCTAGAACAGGAAAAAAAAAATTTTGGCCTCTTTCTCTGCCTGTGCTTTTTTTAACATTTACTGAAGCTCATAAAAGTGTAGAACACTTAGATCTTCAATTTGAAGTATCGAAATTTTTTTCTTTATAGGAGACATGAACACGAAAAGAGACAGAGAGAGAGAGAGAGAGAACGGAAGATTCAGCTTGGGTGCGTATTTGGGGAAATTCTTATTTTTAAAATTCAAAATTTTGATTTGTTGATTTTGATCATGTTTCTCTCTCTTTGTTGAGAACTATATCAATGTCAGCAACAGATATGTCTGTACTAATAAAGAGGACATGTCAAAGAAGCATATAGTATGGATTCTTCAACAGATTATAGGGCATTCTAGTAGAGATACACAAATTTGTATGAAGGAAGAAGAATTGGTGAAGAATCAAAGAGAAGAAAAATATATTCAAATGAGCTGAAGAAATGAAAAGAAGCAATGAATTGATTATAGGTTTCTGAAGATTTATTCACGAAGGAAATAAGTATGGTATTTTAATAGGCCCGGGGTACTTTAAATCATTTCACGTAAATTAACGGAAGTTAGACATAGAATATTTTTTGTAATTTCTATAGAAACAATATTTAAATTGGAATACACCTTATATGAAGGGTGTATTTTGTAAATTTCCCTTAAATATAATATCTACACATCATATAATTAAATAATCACCTTCCCACGAAAAGACTACCCACACAAAAAAATTGACAGAATAACAAATAAAAGTACAATGTTAACAAAGACAGTTAATGGAAACTGCTCAAGTTAATCAGAATGAGTTGTATATGACATGATAAAAAGAACAAACATATAACTAAACCCAATCATTTTTGCCAAACTTTCATCAAATTGCACCTTCATGCAACAATCAAAATGCATCTTCATGCAACAATTACGCCTTGTATGTCCTATTAAACCTATATCCTACATCTATATGTTCGCTCAAAAAATATATACTTTTGTCCTCCAAACCATAGTACAAGTATATCAGATTCTCCATGATTCTCCATAAACATCAGAGAGATTTTGATTATTTCGTAGAAGCATTCTGGCACCAAGCTATAAACCTAATTTATTTTTGCTTACCCAAGCTCTATGCAAAATACCATAATGGGAATTTCAAAGATAAAAAAAATCTAACAATTATAATTTACACATCAAGATTCAACAAATATATATACAAATGTTGCTAAAACATACACTTCTTGAGCTTAAATTAAATGGAATTCTGTAGCCATTTCAAATACAACAGAAAATAACACCAATATGGTCAACAACCACTCAATGTTCAATAAGCTACTAAAATTCTTGATAAAAATAATATAGTAAATTTTCTTAGCATCCAATAAGAAGTTTTCAAGAATCTGAAGAAAAGACAAAATATAACCAAGAGATACAGAAATAAAAAGGTGAACTCAAGATCAAATAAAATGCTCCTATTCTAGCAAACCTTTTGAATATTGATGTGATTTTCATAATCTAATTCATTAAGCCTCTGTTTTGGGAAGAATTTATAAATAGATAGAAATGACTAGTGGATGAGTAGATAGTACTTGTGCACCAGCGTAAATGATAACATGTAAATTTTGCCAAACGGAGGCTAAAGAATGGTATATTCTTAAGCCGATTTAATCAAGAATTCTTCTAATTTTTCTAGACAAAACACATTTTCCCTGAGACCTATAAAAACCACCTCCTGTGAATATATAGAGACAATCATGCTATATTTACATCCCCGTTTACACCCTACAGAATTTACAATTGCACAATATCACAACATCTTCCACAATTTTTTTATTTTACATCTAATCCCTCATCTTCCTCCACATATGCATCTGTAAGCCAGGGTGTAGCCATTTTCTGTACAAATGGCTTTACCCATATTTGAGATTCAATTTGCATAAGCATTAAATAATCAAGTACAGCCAATATATCAAGCTCAAATTCACAAACACCTAAAACAAACTCAAACATCAAACCGCTCAAAAATAAAAAATCATGAAAAAGAGCTAGAAGGGGAAAAATCTTACCACATGCTGCCGCGGTATTTAAGAGTATAAGGTCCGCTCTCAAGCGACCTATCGAAATGGCTGTGCACCTTGTGCTTCCCTTTCCCGCTCTGATCAACCAAGGTCAACTCGAACAACGCCCTCACGTCCGTGCCCTCGCTCGCCAACGCAATAAAAACCGACACATAAGTGTTATTATCCTCAGGATTTTTACCGTCGGGGTAAAAGTAAATTTCCCACTGGTAACCTCCGACTGAGAAATAATCGCTGGCTATGTGTTTTCCGATGCCCATGCCTTTCGCCAGAGAGTACCCCTGGATTAAGAAATGNTCGGGGTAAAAGTAAATTGCCCACTGGTAACCTCCGACGGAGAAATAATCGCTGGCTATGTGTTTTCCGATGCCCATGCCTTTCGCCAGAGAGTACCCCTGGATTAAGAAATGGTGCGACCCGTTTACCGTCTCAGTTACGGAAAGTGAACTCGTCGGCGAGATTATCTGGTTCAGGTTTTTTTCCAGTGTATTAGACATTTCTGGTATAATTTGAATCGGGGAATTACTTGTATAGGTTTCAGTAGGAATGCATGGGGATATACAGGGGGATAAATTTGAATCGAAGGGTAGATTTGGGGAAGACGTGATAATTTTTTCAGAAAGAGAAAGCTAGTTAGGGCTTTCTTCTTCTTTCTTTTCTTTTTATTGGGGGTGGTGGTTGGGAGGAACGGACGAAAGCTGGTTGTCGAGGAAATTTATTGAGTAATTGCATAATTGGTCCTCAACTTTTTATAAATTAGTAATTATGAACTTATGGTTTAATAACTTTACTTCATTCCTTTATGATTTTATTTTATCACATGGTTTTGTTTTCCTTCCAACCGTCATACTTAATCGAGACGTGACCACTTATTCATTACTTCTACCATAATTGTAAGTTGAATCTCGAGGATGAAATCGTAATTAGTTGATTTTTCTTTATGGAAATATAAATAAGATAAAAACATCAATTTAATCTCTCGACTTTCATTTTCATTTTAGTTTGAACACTTTATCTTTCCCTGTTATTAAAACTAATGGTCCATCTTACGTGCCAAACACAATTGATGATGCATATTGTCTATATTCTCATGTAGTCAACTAACTATGCCCAATCTCATTTTTTTTAGGAAAAGAAAAGGAAATCGAAAATTCCTTAATTTCCACACTGAACCCCTGCAACACCCCCACCACGAGGGATTTGGAGGGGTGAGGCAGCAGGGGTTGGTCGTGGTGGCAGCAAAGGTAGTATTCTAATTGAAGTGAAACTTGGTTATAAGTTGGGGGTCTTAAATGTTACAGTGTATTGTAAAGATATAATTTCATGTTTTGTTTGCACATCCAATATTGTTGCAGTTTGAAACTCGTCTTGTTTATTCAAGTACAAACACGATGTAAAGCATTCTAAAAGTTATTTCTCATCTAAAAACATATAGTGTTTGCTATTGCATGCATGCATTGTGCTCGTGAAAGGCGAGATCTCACCCTTCAAGAGACTCATCCACTATGCCTCATCATCGCCACTGACTTCTTCCTCCCAAGAGATCATATGCAACTTTTGAATGGGAATTTGCCATTATTGAACTCTTTTCCAGCTCATAGTATCTGGACAACTATCCTCTATAGATACATGGTTGCACATATACATTTGATCACATCTTGCCATTGTTGTCGTTCTTATTAACTCGAAAAAGCAAAAGGAAGAGCATACATAACAATGAAGAACTTATCTTGATTCATAAATTTTAATTGGTTACCCGAATCCATTTCCTTTATTGGGTTCGTCATTCAGTAACCACAACATGTCATGTTAAAGGAAGATCATACATTACACATAAATGATGATTCATTCACTTACAATCCACAAATTTCAAATCCCAACAAAACATGCTTACTTTTTAACTTGAGATTTCCCAATAAAGTCATGTATAATGTCGTTGTTTGACACCCCTTAATTCTTATTTTTAGCAAATTTCATCATCGAGCAATCCATTATACAAGTAATCAGTGGCACTTAATGTCAACACATGCTAATACTAGAGTGTAATCAGATAGCAGAAACTACAACTCCAACTGTACAGTTGATCTCCAAGCAATCGTCTTTCGGATAATCTGAAGTTTCAAGCATATCTCGGTTGTAAAAGCGCTTGAATCCCCTGTAACATAAACTGGAAACATTAGCAGGAATGTAAGGAAAAATCGACGCTGAAGCCTAAAATCTTGAGTAGCCGCACGCAAAGTTACAGTCAAAATTGATGATATTATGCTAGTATTGGATACTATTTGGTAATATATTTTAAAATACTATGATAGAATCGAAATGAAATAGACGGTTGGAGTTTGGATTTGATTTCAACAATTACTTTAGATTTTATTTACAAAATATCTGAAATATAATAGGTGATTCCGGGTATTGAAATACTCATACCAATGTGCCCGACTCCCATATTTACTGAAACCACTAAAATATTGAGCTCAAATCAAACGCCTAAAACCAACCCAAACATTAAGGCGTTGTTCTCTTCGTGTTCAGTTTTTAGTTTTGAGTTTTGAATTCATTTTGAGTTTTGTGTTTTGAGTGCCCATTTTGAAATTACTAAAAACACATTGTTATTGTCATTTTGAAAAATTGTTTTCGAAAATAAAACAAATGAAGTTTTGGCGTGATTTTAACTGAAAACAATCAAAACGATTTTTTTCGCATTTTCCGTTTTCTTTGCAAATTTTAAACTCTTTTTTGGAAATTTGTTTCTGAAAATAGGTAAATAAACGTGTTTTCAGTGTTTTCCAAAATTGAAAATTACCCGTACAACTTATAAAACAGAGCAGGGAGAGAAAAAAAAAACTTACCACATGCTACCACAGTATTTAAGAGTATAAGGCCCACTCTCAGGCGGCGTATCAAACTGGCTGTGCACCTTGTGCTTCCCTTTCCCGCTCTGGTCAATCATGCTCAACTCGAACAGGGCCTTGACGTCCGTTCCCTCGCTCATCAACACAATAAAAACCGAAACATATGTGGTGTTATCATCAAGATCTTTACCGTTGGGGTAAAAGTAAATCGCCCACTGAACACCTTCCACAGTGAATATCGCTGGCTATGTAATTTCCGATGCCCATGCCTTTCGCCAGAGAGTACCCCTGGATTACGAGACGTTGCGACCCATTTACCGTCCCTGGTACGGAACGAGAGCTTGTCGGTGAGATTACCGGGTTCGGGGTTTTTTCCGATGTATTTGACATTTTTGGTAGCTAAGAATTGGAAGGTTCAACGGGACAGGGGGTTGATAGATAGTCAACTTTTTCAATTCCAAAATTTAATTGGGTAAATTGCACAATTGATCCTTTTCCAATAGTTGTGATCTTGTACTCAACTATTTTTCCAACACATTCTTGTTCCCCACGTTCAATAAATTAGGGTCCGCAATGACGGTTTCTATCAATTTTGGCGCACAACTTTTATCCTTGCGGTTAATAATACACGTAAGTATGATGATTTTATTTTTCGAGGAATCTTTCATTAGTGATTGTGAATGACTAATTTTTTAATCTTTTCAACCTTTGATAAAATAGTCAAGCCATTTAAACCTAAATCTTCCATTTTAGTGCTTGTTTGGCAATATTTTTAGATGTTTATATGTCGTGGATCCTACGAAATTTGTGATAGTAAGTTGTGAATTTTAAGTTTCGTGAAGACAAATGAATATTTAATCAGCTTAAATTATATTTAAGCTATGCCAAACATGCTCTCAATGAAACATTTATCTTCGACTATATCAAATTAGCCTTCCTATGATAGTGACGATGGGAAAAAGTTAAAATTATGTTATATAATGATCAACACGATATTTTTTGTAATCTATGGCACCTATGCTATAAGAGTACGTCACTAGATGAACCTATATAATGATCAACATGCTATTTTTAGTAATCTATGGCACTTATGCTATGTGAGTACTTAATTAAATGTTTTGGATTCATTGAGGCAGTAGCCTCACGTTGAAAGCAAATCTCTATAAATCTTGCGTGTTATTGTGTGTCTATTTTTTTTCCGCGATATAATTGCGAGTGAATTGTTTCAAAAATTACTCAACTTATACCATGGTCACGGACTGCTCGCTAAACTTCAACATGCTACACACTGCTCACTGAACTTCCTCCATTTGCACTCCATCCATCATCCAAAAAAAATCGTTATCATTTTCACTGATGTGGAGGACGGTTTTATTACGTGGCAACTAACGGCAGTCAAGTGCATTCCAAATCAGCCAAGTTATCCAATTCACCTTAAAATAATATTAAAACTTAAAAAGAAAAAACAAAACGAAAGTAAGAGTTTGTTTGGGGGGAATTTTAATCTAATTAAAATTGAAAATATAGTCGTTATTGTGTTTCACTCGTCTAATAAAAGTCAACAATAACGACTAATTTTTCAATTTTGATCCGATTTTAATCTCTACCAAACAAGCTCTAAAAGTAAAAAATGCGAACACTCTCCTTCTTCTCCGACAACGTCTTGCTACCATGTCCCCGAACAAAAACCAAAAATGTTCTTCTTCCTCCTCAACCTCCCTCCCCAACCCCATCTACAAATTTGAAATTTGAAGCAATTAAATTTGGGTATGCAAATTCTTTAAAGGAAATACCATATGCGAGAGCCAATAATAAGGTGCAAACACACCGCCCTAACCTCGATTTTTCCCTAACTGGCATGGACGACTGGCGGTCGACGATAGACATTGCAGATTTGACGACGAGAGTGGCAGAAGAAGAGATATCGCTTTTGTCTTAAGAGATTAGGGTTTCCAATTTCTCTTTCCTCCTGTTTTCAAATTTTTGCTTTTGATTTGTACTCCTTTTTTTTTTTCCTCAAATTGACTAAATTAATTATAAGTAAAGCCACCAAACATTTATTTTGAACATTGTCGGAAATGAAAGTTCGCTGGCGAGGAGATTATCAAACTGAAAGAATTCGAATTTTTTTTTTTTTAAAGGTAAAAAACATGTTTTAAAATACACGTTGGACACGTTGTTTTGCTGATTAGGATTTCAAATGTGATTTGGCATGTTTTAAATGGACGTTGGTTGCCACATCAACTTTTCATCCGCCACATCAGCGAGAATGATAATGGTTTTTTTTTTTTGTGATGGAAGGAGTGCAAATGGAGGAAGTTCAGTGAGCAGTGTGTAGCATGTTGAAGTTTAGTGAGCAGTCTGTGACCATGGTATAAGATGAGTGATTTTTGAAACAATTCACTCTATAATTGCTCTCGGTGGTATAGAATTAAAGTTTCTATTAATTCTAGACAATTTAGCCGTTATGAATGGAAGAAAAACTAGAGTCTGGCATCAAAACAAATGAGTTATTACATAGTTCCCACTAATACAGAAAGAAATCGGAGGTTCAAAGTGCAGCAGCCTGATTTTCAGTTCTGCTAATAATGTAGAATTTGCTGCTCCCAACTCCAAACCTAGGTCTTTTTGTAAACAAGCTAATGGCCCTTGGCATAAAAAGAATTCAAAAAGAAAATCACTAATTGTTGGTGAGCTTGTTTGGCATGCATAAATTCGGATCATTAGGGCGGAGGAAGAATCCCTTGAAGGAAGAAATCATTGTAAGTGCCCGCTGTTGATCCTTCATGGAAGATGTAAATTACCATAGAATCCTTCATGGAAGATGTTTCATGTGTAGCGCTTCCCCGACTAGTCTATCTCACCTCATCGTTAAGGTACCATGTGCACCAAGCATTCTCCATTGGAAGTTTTAGGCTGTTTATTGCATCTCTCTGGTTATTGTTAATGTAACATTTGCATCAATGTCACCGTTGCATAAAAATACAAGAAGAGAGGAAATACTAAAAAAACTCAACTTGGTCACAAGATGACTCGGAATTTCTCATATCCATTTTTAACACATTTAACTTTTAGATGAGATGATTTAATATCATATCTAAAAAATGTTGTGTCCAAGTCTCGTCGTCACCCATTTATAAATATTGTGAAAAAGTCAAAGTCATAGGTGTAATATTGAAATCACTCTTTTAACTACTTAAACTTTTAGATATTGTGATTCGATACAAACACTTGCCTGTATAGCCAGACCCTCAAGCCACTAGCCATGAGATTCTCGATAATTGGCAAAACAGTTATTGCCATGTATGTCCAGTGATAATCTCTACACAACAAATCACAGTTGAAACTTAATTGTTTCTTATTTTCTCTCAAGACATCTATTTTTTCATATATTTACCTGCAAACTGTCCAATTTGTAAACTTTACA